AAAAAATATATATTTTAGTTGTTGATAGACCTTTATTTTATTTATATGTGGTGCTGAGAATTGAACACAGTGCCTCACACATGCCAGGCAAGAGTGCTACTGCTGAGCCCCAGCCTCGCTGTGTTCTAGTTTTTAGTGCAAAGGTTTTTCACACCCTTTGGTAGGTTTGTCCACAGGTATTTTATTACTTATTTTTTGAGGATTGTGAATGGAATTGTTTTCCTGATTTCCTTTTTAGCAGATTCATTGTTGGATTATTAGAAAGCTATTGAGTTTTGTATATGGATCTTGTTTCCTGCTACATTCCAAGTTTTTAAAAATCAGCTCTGTAAGTCTTCTGGTGGAATTTTTTGAAATTCTAAGTATAGGATCATGTCTTCTGCAAACAGATAATTTGACTTCTTTTTTCCTACTTCTATCCTTTAAATTTCCTTCTTTTGCCTAATTTTTCTTGCTAGGGTCTCAAGAACTATACTGAATATGTAACGATGTAAATGGACATCCTTATCTTGTTCTTGATTGTAGAGAAAACAATTTGAAATTTTTTCCTTTTCATTATGATGTTAGTTTTGGGTTTATCATTTATAGACTTTATAGTGGTAAAGTAAGTTCCTTATATCCCTAGGTTCTTCAGTGTTTTTAACATGCATGGCTGTTGCATTTAGTTAGTTTTTTTCCTACATCTATTGAGATGAAAATGTGATTTCCCCCCTTTATTCTATTTATGTCATGAGTTACATTTATTAATTTGCATCGCTGGGATGAAATCAACTTGATCATGGTGTACAATCTTCTTAGTGTACTTTCAAATAGAGCTTGTTAATATGTTAGTAAGGATTTTTGTCTTTGGGTTCATTAGGGATATAGGTCTGTAGATTTTTTTTTTACATGATGTGTCTTTATCTGGTTTTAGTATCAGGGAGATAGTGGCTCCATAGAATCAATTTGGGAGTGTTCCTTCCATTTTTCATGGAAAAGATTGAAGAGATTGCCATTAGTTCTTTAAAGATCTGGTAGAACTCAACTAAGAATCATTTAGTCCTGGGCTATTCTTGGTTGGAAGATTTTTTATTACTCTTTTAAATTCTTCGATTATTATTGGTCTGTATAGATTTTCTATATCTTCCTGGTTTAATTATAAAAGTCACATGTGTCTAGAAATTGCTATCTTCTAGATTTTCTAATTTATTGGAATATACATTTTCAAAATTTCTTCCTGATGATCCTCTGGATTTCAGAAATGCCTGTTGTGATATCTCTTTTCTCAACTCTAATTTTGTTGATTTGGGTCATCTCTCTATTTTGATTAGTTTGGCTAAGGGTTTATCAATCTTGCTTATCTTTTCAAAGAACCAACTCTTCGTTGCATTGATCCTCTTTGCAATCTATGGTGCATTTTT